ACGAAAGACAACAAAGTAATGATCAACTGTAAAGATTTTGTTGTTCGGTTGAAAATTACAAACAATCGGCATAAAATTATACAAAACTTTTATGCATTTTATAGTGTTTTACGATATTATCTTACTTGAATAATATTTAAATAAATAAATTTTTCAAACATGTTGAGAATAGTCAAAGATCTAGAGAAAAAGAACAATAACAATAACAATAACAATATGGAGGACTACCATTAGAGAACATGCCAAAAGTAGACATAATTGTTACCTTGCGTCCTAGAACTGTCATGGCTTCCTCGTCCCATAGTCTGCTACATTCCCAAGGCTTCTTCTCCGCTGGACGGGTGATAGCTCTACCCAGATCTCTTAATTGATCATGCATTCTCAACTTATTGTTATCATCGTATTTTATTAGCAGACGTTGAGTCATTTTTGCCAATGCCAATAGTGGGTAAAATTCAAGATCATCCCACAGGTACATGGCAAATCTCCTGTCAGTTCCAATAAAAAGACATGCTATGTCTAGAAAGATTTGTTGTTCTTTAGGTTCTAACGCATCGTAACTTATCCTCAACTTTTGTTGTACTGTAATATTATGTGCCTTCGTCAATTTCTTCAGCATTTCTCTCCATAGTCTTTGATCTTCTTCTCCTTTGAGAAGTGAACCTATAACCATGAGAGCTAAGGGAAGCCCTCCTGTGGTGGCAACAATTTCGCAAGAAAAAGTCGCGAGTTCTTTTGGAGGTGGTTTCCCTTCAAATGCATATTTGCTAAACAGAAGCAAAGAGTCTTCACAATTCATTTCTTTGAGTTCATACTCATATTTAGACTTCAAGAGGGCCTTATCTCGATATGTAACGATGATCCTACTTCCTGACATGAAACTACAACCTCCAATCAAATTATCGAGGTGGTCTTGTCTATCTACATCGTCAATAAGAATAAGTACCTTGTTTTGTGTACAATTGGACTGGATTGTTTGAATTCCTATATCAGAATCAGGTACTCGATGGTAATTTTTTTTTAGTATATCTGAGATAAGTCGAGATTGCACATGCTCAATACCCTTGCGATTAATCGTTTCTCTAATATCCTTGAGAAAGCAGTGACACTTAAATTTGTCAAAAAGTTTGTTATAAATGATCGTAGCCAGAGTTGTCTTACCAATGCCACCCATCCCATAAATCCCAATAATTCGAGTGTCGGGGTGAGCGGTGTCTGCCAATTTCATAACCTTAGCCACATGATCATCAATTCCAACCAAGTTCATGGGAAGTCTTGGTTGAAAATCTCTTTGCCGCTCGCGATGTCACACCCCGAACCCCATCGAGCACGCGACATCCCTCTTCGGTCGAATTAGTGCGACATCCCAGGAAACGTCGCCGACCCAAATTAACCCATCAGAGTTAATCGCGGCGGAAACATCAAACACCCAAACAATAATTTACCTGGGGTACTAGGGAGAATAAATTGCCAAACCACCAAATCTTATACTATACCTCAAATTAAGCACAATATCCATTTACAACATAAATGTATGCCACAACCGCCAATTTACAAACCACAAAGCAAAATATGCACATTGGACTACTAAACTGCAAACCACCGTTATCACAAAAGATTAGTAGCCTGGGTAACGCTACACCAAAATGGGACACTTCCAAACTCTTCCTCAGCTCCAAAACTAATCCCTACGCCCTCTAGATGGCGTCCACTCTGACTCACTTTTTTCGGAATCCTCATCCGAATCCTCATCAGGCACGTGTTCATCCGTCGACTCCGAATCGGCCTCCATCTCGATCGAGAATTCTACCAAATCATGATCAGAGTGCATAACAGTTCCAAAACGCTGCGACGGCGGCGGAAGGTTCATGGCTCGGGCGGGTGCTCTGAAATGGTTTGGTTGAAACAACCATGAGACACTTCTCAATAAGTTCACAACCTAAACCTTACCTAGGCTACCACGTATTCCAGACAAGTCCAGACATCGAATCAAGCAATACACAAACAACGTCCATGCAATCGTACTTACCGGATTCTCAATACACGCAACATGCACATTAGTCTTACAATAGCATTATTCCACTCACATGCATGTTCTAATGATATTTCATGCATTTGTTCCCGTTTCATCACATATTTTTCCACAACTCTCGTCAGTGACCCGCGTTACAGTACACGCCTCAGGTTCACTGCGACTAACTTATCACAACACTTCAGGGCCCGCGTTACAGTACACGCCTCAGGCTATGTCTCTTGCCCGCGTTACCGTACACGCCTCAGGCTCAACATCTACCACCTACGGCATAAACAACCGTCTCATTTTCACAACACTCCTTAGCCCGCGTTACAGTACACGCCTCAGGCTATGTCTCTTGCCCGCGTTACAGTACACGCCTTAGGCTCAACATCTACCACCTACTGCGCAACCCGCGTTGAAGTACACGCCTCAGGCTGGCAGTCTTCCGGTAATACCGGGCATCGTCCCGCGTTGAAGTACACGCCTCAGGACGGCACAATTCCCACAATCGCACATGCCACACCACATTCACTCTCTTATTCATGCACATGCTCAACAATCATTTGCCACATTCAATTGGCAAATCACACGTGGCTTGTGCACGCACCAATTCACACACAATTCATGCTCACTAAGCATTTGACATGGCCAATTTAGCAATTAATTCAGTCTGGCCCAAGCGTGCGCATAACAAAGCACATTTCAATCTATCAAATCACGGTTCAATAAACACACAAGGCCACTCATGGGCCCACAAACACAGCCACGTTCATAGGTATAAATTCGACATTTCCAAGCATATTAAACACCACAATCCAGCCGTACTACCACACACCAAACCGACACCATTTGTCCTTAAATCGAGCCCTAAGCTCGCCAATTCCATCCCACAACATCCGACACTCTATTCAGTCTCACCCCAGCCTCGAAACATCCTCATTTCATCCTCAAATCGACTCATCTAACACATATTCAAGCATAAATTCTGGTCACGAGGCAGCAATTATTCAACCCCGACACCCCCGCCATTCCGCTCATAAAAACGAACATTCAAAGAATCGGGGTAAAATTGAGCAGTTTACACAGTGACCGAAATCCCATTCAAATAAATAGTAAACAAACTCCAAAAATTCTGAAATTTGTATATGTTGCGTAAAACATCTTGATAAACATTTTTCATGAAGAACTCAAAACCCAGTTCCAACTGTAATCACCTCTTTTTGTCACTTGTAGTCGGATGAAAATCAACCCGTCCGGTCAGGCCACCTGACCATAAAAATGCATTTCATCTAGTACCCAAATCACTTTGGAAAGTCTTGAAATTTTTATATGTCATAGTCACAAATGTCCTCAACAATTTTTGTGAAGGAAGTATTTTGAAAATGGGTCTCGAAAAATTTATAAAAATTCGAACAGACCCGAAGGTCGGAGGAACAGTGTTTCCAGCACACTAATTTCGGTCCAAAGATGGACTTTCGAATGGCCTCCGATGATTTCCAAAAATTCTCAAATTAAAATCTGTCATACTTCAAGATGTTAGGAGCAACTTTTATGAATAAACTTTCTCAAATTCGGCCCACAAAATTCTCTACAAAAATAGCAAACCGGACAGGTACAGTAGTCACGAATCCGAGAATCACACCAAACCTCAAGGATTCAAACCCGAATTGGTTTCTACCGAATTTCAACCACCGAAACTCATTCCCAGACGTCTAATCCAACACGCAACAGCCACTAACAGCCATGATCAGCCACCAACAACCACGATCAACACCCTAATCAACCCCTAACTACCCTAAATCGCGTCTAAACGAGTCTGACAATACCTGATGTCCTAGGCAAGGGTTAGATTGCGACTTACCCGACTCTAGACTCACGCGGCTAGAGTGAAACGGGTGCGATCGGCGCGGCGGCGCGGCTCGGCGGTGGCGACGGCAAGCGGCGGTGGCAATCCGGTCGGGCGGTGACCGGTGTGCGGCTGCTCGGCGAGGGGAGGGAGCTGGTTCGGTGGGTGAGGGAGAGGGAGAGAGATGCCGTGAGATGAGAGAGAGAGGAAATGAGGAGAGAGAGAGAGAGGTCTTGGCTTAAAAATCAAGTTTTGACCAACTTTTTGCCAAATGACCAAAATGCCCTTCTCTCTACTTTTCATCCGACGGCCCAGATTCGATCTTATCTTGAAACCGACGGCCCAGATCGAATCTCATCCAAAATATCCAAGGGTAATCTTGGAATTTCTCAAGAAGTCCAAGGACAAAAGTGTCTTTTCCAAATTTTTGGGGCAAAATTACCAAAATGCCCTTGCTCCATAAAACTAGCCCTTTAGAAATTCTTAGGGGTGAAATTCTTAGTGTCTTTTCGAATTTTTCTGAAGCAATCGGGACAATCCAAAATTACACGTTCCAACCGCAACATCGTCCTAACGTCCCGTTGTGACTTCCTAATTTTCCGATGTCCAATTTGGGCTCAATTAAATAATTAAATTTTATTAAACGTAACTCGAGCGTTTCTCAAACTAACGGGCGGCTTGTTGGGGAAATTCGCATATTTGACCCGTGACTGATAATAAATCGAGTCACGTGCAAGTTCGTTCGGTTCGTGACGATTTCGGTTGTCATTTAAATCGCGAGGATCAATCACTAGATCCGAGGGGCACGATCGTTTGGTATAAGTTCAGGATCGCTCGTCAATTCATTTCGTGGTCCAGCATAATCACCCGCGATCCACTACTCTGACAGTGGCGTACTGACCCCTGACTATCCTTGGATCGGCCAACAGTGGCTCAAAATGTCACCTCTGCGATTTTATGGTCGAAAGTCAATTCACGATCGAATTTTCTCTTCGTTGTACGAATTTAGATCTCCAGTTAGCCTTTCCCTAATGGTTAGTATCCCAGGAATGATCAGTTCCGGGCGAAAATTAATTACGAGTACATTCATAAAACTCAGTATTTTACAAATCCCAAATGAACCAAATTTTCAGGATGTCACACGCGCATTGCGATTTCTACAAGTTCACTTACTAATTCTGCTTCACGCCTGTCAACGCAACACAACACAAAACATGAGAACTTAATAGTGGCTCCACAAAACAAGAATTAAGGATGATGAATAAATACTCATCTTCCAACAAGAAATCGGCTAAAAGAAGGTAAACTTAGTACCCATTAGCATATTTCTCTGATTCGAATACTCTAGAGTAAGCTGCTTTTCTGAGCGCTTCCTTCCCTTGTTGCTTGACCTCCTCATCAAAAAGATGCTCCTGGGATCGGAAGGCCTCTCCAAAGCTACCCCCTAGGTGTTGCACATCCTTGGGCTTCACCTTGTAAAGCACGGGCAAGACCATTTGTCCTCTGCTTTCCTTGCACTCCATTATACGAATGAGCTCGCGGAGGCACCATTCGCTCGAAGCATAATTTTGGGAGATGACTGGGATTGAAACCTTTGAGTGCGTGATTGCACTGATAAGATTTACAGCAATGTCGTCGCCCAAGGGGAGGTCGTTATCATCTCTGAACACAAAGTTTGGCTGGAACCTTAGGCCCACATCTTTGAGCCTGTGGTAGAGGTGATCGACGAAGCCATTGCGAGTATCAGGGCCTCTAAAACTCAAGAATACATAGTAATTATTTCCAATTACAGAGGTGGATGAAGCAGATGGCCCAGAACTCTCCCCGGACTCCGACAGCACATTGATCTTCTCCATCGAGTCCGAAGAAGGAAGAAGAAGAGGCAGTTCGCTCTCGCACTCCTCCGACTGTAATTCAAACGATTCTTCGTGTCTTAGTCGCTTCGACATGGTCGGACTCGAAGCTTCAGTGTATTCAACTCGCTTGAGTTGTTGCCTCGAGCAATGATTTTCCATCGCAGTGCCCTCTCTATGTCTCTCTCCCTGTCTCTGAGACTCGACTATTATGGATAGTTTTTGAGTAAGAAATGATTAAATGGCTAACTTTGCGCCCCAGTTATAGCGTCGCTGGTAAGAGGAAGAAGGGAAAGCAGTAGGAAAAGCATGATCCCTCGACCTGGCACTTACGATGAACTTGCATAAACGATGCAATTGGAGAAATAAAGTGGCTAGTTGACTTGGACTTGGCAAAGTGCTTAGTCCTTGCCGACATTAGCTGATTTTATCATTTACGAACCAGCAATTTAGTCAGTAACATGCTAAGTATGGGAGGATCATTTAACGTTTAAATTGTTGTCCTTTTTGGCCACGATATTAATATTGTGTCTGAAATCAAGGAAATAAAAGAAAGAAAAGATCGTAATAGCTATATTGCAGCTATAATAATTAATTACCATTATCGTAGCCTATAGACCCGTGCGATGCACGGGAAAAAGACTTGTGAAATAGATTAGATGAAATGATTACTCTAGAGGAAGTATAGTTGATCGTCATGAGAACAAGAGATTTTCGTAATATTGAAAGTAATTATATGCACCTTGAACTAAAATGGAAAAATATTTAGTTCCATTAAAGTGAGAAAATAAAAAGAAAATATATTTTTCAATAGAAAGTTGAGATAAATGTCACTCATGGAGAGCGTCCCATGTGAACCATCCATTAAAAGTGCTTTGGAGCAACACTTTACATTTATCTAATAACATAGATTCCTTGCATCTACTTTAGATCACGAGACATATTTAATTTTAGCTTATTTCTAATCTCTAAGAAGTCGTGCTTTCTTTCGTTGTGCAAGCGCATCAACAATTTGCGTTTTATTAACTTGCGAACTTTAGTAAATAACTAAGAATAATTAATTTAGTTATCGGACACTCATGTTGTTACTTCTCTTCGTTAATCTTTGGCCCATATATTCCCAGTACTATTGGTCTCGAGATTTTTTAAATTAGACAACTTATCATAATGCCTGCGCATAACAAGTTCCGTTCCATCAACCGTTCCAACTTCCTAACTATATTGGGGATATGACAGAGACAACAATCGCCATCGTTACTAAAAAAGCCTTCGTCAATCATTTTTCTCATCCGTCCTTACCACTCCCTTTCCGAGTCTCCAAAGGCCATGAACATCTGCCTTTGTTTAATGTCAATGGGAGCAAACACGCTGGTTGCCTTTAGGCGTTGAAAAGAAAAAGGAGAAAAGCTCAAAGCAACCACTTCAATCAGTACGTTCACGGAATCTTCGGCCTAAAGTTGTCTTTATTCCTCCAATTCAAGTCTTTTGCACGAAGTGGGTGGGATTCTTTACATTGAATTATTTATCGGAATTCTTGTCTTCCACCGAAACATTTCTTAGAAATCGACTTCTACTTATCTAGGCAGACTAGGCTAACGTGTAGCAAACGGTAAGGCTAATAGTAGGTAGACATAGAATAAATGCTTTCACAAGAAAATGAAGATGAGGAGCTCTTGAAGTAAAACATGAAGCTAAGGTTCCTAATGTTTAAGCGTTGTGTTTCTTCAAAATTTGTGGGCTTCAGACTTTGTGGTTGAACATATGAATGTCTGTTCAAGAATATTGGCTGCACATTGCCCTCATGTAGCTGTAAGTGGAGGAGCCATAGTCTCCAATTGAGCGGTAGATTGGTGCCTGTAAATAGGGCATCGGAAAGCCTTGGAATGCAAGCTGAGAGAGCTTCACAAATAGACAGAAAAAGAGAAAGTTGCCTGTAAATAGTGTGTTTGTATGAGCTAGTTTGTATTACCATTTTCTCGTATTACTATCATCATGCTTCCACAAACGACAACGAGTGATAAATGATTTCTACTTTTGGAACGGATTTCGCTCCAAGTTCACACCTTAAGACGATTTTCCGACGAAACCATTCACGACCTCATTGTCTTTTTCTTAACATTTTGAAGACATAGTGGATGCTCATTGCTTAAAGTTGGATTCTCCTCCCACTGATAACCTGACTTGTAATAGCACCAAAAGGACAGTGGGGCGGGGTTGGGGTGGGCATGAAATGACGTTTTCGTTGGCCAAAGCAGAGAGCACAAAAGCATAGTAGAAAATCTTCATTAAAGCTTTATCTCTCGATAATGTCTTTCGGCTGCTTTACTATTACTTGGATCCAAGCCTGATTTGCTCCTTTGTTCCAACCCCTGATTTCCTTCTGACTCAATGATTCTCCCTTCCATGTCTTATTCATTTTTTTAGGTTAATTAGCTATTTAGTCTATCTTGCGAATTCATTATTAAAACAGATCAAAAATAATTGGAGAAATTTATCATCGGTAAAGTTCTGATTTTTTTCTATTGACATCTTCTGGCATATCCTAGGTTAATCATCTTGCCTTGTAGCTTCTTAACAATCTATCACAATCTTTTCGAGGCATATATCTGCCAAAAACAAAGAACTGAGATGACTGGACATTCAAGATTCAACTATGACATTGGCTGTTCTCGATAACCTTGGCTTTTCCACATCTTTAATTGACATAGTACTGGATATGGAGGAATCATCTCTTTCTCTTGGAGTCTTTTCTTCAAATCAATTTGGACTTCTTGAGCATAATCTTTTGATAGGTAGTGAGTAGTTTTCTGAAAGTAGAAATACAATTTCTGACTCCAGGCTATGTTATAAATTCAGAATAGACAGTCAGGTACATATATTTCACCTATTGTACTATTTGACTCCGTTAAGAGTAGAAACAATACAATGTCTTACCTTTGTTCATTGGAATCGGTTCCCGCAACGAAATATCTTTTACCGAAAGTCGTTCTTCAGGTTTTTTAAAAAATGAGACCGGGTTCTGTGGTGATTCCGAATATGAGGTATTCAAGCAAACTATGGAACCAACAACTTCACTTTGATCGAAACTATACGAACTTGAAATGTGTTGGAATTTAATCGATGACAAAGCTCCTAAAGTACAGTAGGTACAAATGTAAACAAACTCTGCTGAATTTAATCGACGACAGGGTCAAACTACACCAAATTATCACGCCAGAATTTAATCAACGATGCGATATAGGGATAAAGATACACACTGGAATTTAAACGACGACGCGGATCTGAAAGCTACAACTAGGGAAATTGAAAGTACTGTGTTTGAAAGCTAAAAAATAATGGGAAAAGTACAAAAAAAGTTCTAAACCAATTGCATTGGTATCAATTTAGTCCTAAACCTTTCAATTAGACTAATTTAGTCCTAAATCTTTTTATATTTGTACCAATTCAGTCCATCGAGCTAATTTAGGCTGGAAATCGCTAACGACCGGCGTTGACGTGGACAATTTTTATTAATTTTTTGAATTTTTTAATATTTTTTCTTCAATTTAAGTTCAGAGACTGTATTGAATATTTTCATATAGTTCAGGGACTAAATTAAACATATATCAAAAGTGTCACGCCCCGGACCCCACCGAGCCCGCGACATTCCTCCGTGGTCGTATTTCGAATGCGACGTCCCAGGACTCATCGCCGACCCACGCGAACATCAAAACATAAAGCGCAAGCGGAAACGATTAAAAGCACCCAGACAAGATTAAAGATCAAGGGTAGTAGAAAACTTGAACAAATAAATCACATACTTCATTCAACGGCACGTACTTACAAAATCCAACCTTACATACAAAGGCCACTAGGGTTAAAACCACCATCATCAAAAAGGGGCAAGTCGTCGGGTAGGTTAGCCTAGCTATACAAAAAGGGTCCACCAACTCCATGGGCTCATCTTCGGGATCTTGCTCCATCGGCTCTTCCTCGGGATCCCAAAACGCTGTGACAGACCATTCATGATCGGAGTCGGGGGTCTGAAATGGTTATATAATAACCATGAGAACGAGTCTCAATAAGCAACACCCTAAACCCTACCTAGGCCAATGCGTACCCAGACAAGTCTTACATGCAATCTAACAAGTAACGTACAAAATTCACATCCACGCACTTACCTCGCCTCAATCCACACGTCACCTCTACACGTTAGTTAATTCACAATAATGCAATAATAGCTCATGATCATAACACAACCACTCGAGCGTCACATACATGCACATTCACCCAATTCAACCAAGCACAATTCGCATGCGTGTCCAGCCAACTTTCCACGACCCGCATCAACACGCCTCAGGCTAGCCCTCTGATCAATCCGGGCTCTGTCCCTCACTGGACATTTCACAATTTCTCACGACCCGCGTAAACACGCCTAAGGTCAGCCTTTCGATCAATCCGGGCTCCGTCTCGAGTAACCACGCCTCAGGACATTTCTTTCTTTCCCATAACCCGCGTAAACACGCCTCAGGTCTAATTTTCCTTTCACGGACCACCGTCAACACGTCTCAAGTCCGTTCTCACAGGCATACAAGCTACACAATTCAATCAATTTCCAATGACCGCCGTCAACACGTCCCAGGTCTAACTTTCCTTTCACGGACCACCGTCAACACGTCTCAAGTCCGTTAACTTTCATTCTACGGACCACCGTCAACACGTCTCAAGTTCGTTCTTACATCCAATCCACCACAATTTCCACAAAATGCACCATACTAAATCGAGCGCACAAAGGCCTGGATAGGCCATCGAACCTGGCCCCCAACACAGCACGCCCAACGCAATTTAGGCATAAAATCACACATGGGGAAAAATCAAAAGTCAAACCGCCACTCAAACACACTCGCTTCAACAACGAACAACCAATGCAAATTGCCACTAATTGAACATTACTTCACACACGAACTATCACACATTTAAGCCCCACTTCGAGCACCAATCAGTCCCACAAATCATCACACAAAACGGCACTTGAACCGCCACAATTTAGCCCACTTTTGCACCACAAATCAGCCACCACACTCAGCCATAAACAGCCACATTCAGCCACAAAGAACAAGGGAAAACCGAATACACAGATTCGGAGCAATTCTGGGCCAGCGCACAGTTCTGGAATCCCTTTTAAAATAAATAGTAATTCAACTCCAAAAATTATGAATTTCGGATATGTCATAGAAGACATCTTGATGAACATTTTTCATGCAGAAC